GTAGCCTAGGTATTATGGGAATCTCGGAACTGCTGAATAACTTAGCATAATATCAGCGATGATACATTGGATTGTACAAGGTGGTAATAATTCGAGATCAGATAAGTAAATAAATACCGACTTGGGCAAGGCTACCAGTTTCAGAGCCATTAACATTCCTTGAAGGTGACAATGAGCAGCCAACAGATGGACCATCCGTAAATCTTGATGATTTTTTCAGCTCAGCTGAACGAGCCTCCAGATTCCTTGAAACAAATGACCATCATTCAAGAATAGTATTATCTATTTACAATTTTTTGAAATCGTGGTAAGTTGAATTTTTCCAATTACCAATATAGCATTATTATTGTTTTCGGAGACTGTGGATTAAAATATTAAAAATACACACATTCAAAATGATTCAATTGAAACCTAGCCAGTCTGTTCAATGAATCCAATCAGAACGTCTACTAATCCACACGATGCATCATAATTAAATTGCTTTTTTAAAGCTGATATTTCATACCATAACTCCAAAAATATTATAGAACGCATTGTATTTGTATTTTACTTCACACAGACATATTTGTGTATGTGAAATAATTATAGTACTTGAATTTTTTATTCCCCATTACAAAGTAAACCTATGGCAAATTATACATACCTTCTCACAGTTATGAGTGAGATGATAAAACTGAACGAGTGAACTCGTTTGAGTTATCTATTCTCCGTAAAAAGATCAGAGAATGTGTGTTTATAGCGTAGCTTTGGTTTTGTAAATCAATGAAGTATGATATACACGGATGAGTAAATATAGATTATTTAAACAGAAGTGCAAAATTCTTCCATTGAAAAGTACAGAGGCGGGTACTCACGAAACATTACATGTGCCTGACTGCATCCACATAGATCGACTAGCCACAGTGTCGAAATGTAACTTTTAAAGATTATTAACATTTTGCCAATTTGGGATCCAACCCGACCTTTCTTCCACCATTGGGTGCTATATTGTAATCAGTTTGTTGGGCTGTGGTGGTCGGTTGGTCTGTCGGGAAGACGGGTAGCTATAGGCAGGTGTCTAGATTGATCTGGTCTACTCTTTTCACTAATCTGAACAAAGCCCGTATGACAAAGCCCGGAAGTTTTATAAATTATTGCAAACTTTAGAGAAATTAGTAACAAATTGACTAGTTTTATTTTCGTCCGGGGTATTATAATGACCTCTAAACCATTTTTAGCTCTTCTCCCCTTTCATTATGTAAAAATTCGAGGGTCTTTAATCTTTATACTTGTTTGAGTTTCTACTTTTTTCGATTTTTTCAAAAAATTGATTCATTTGTTTAAGAAACAATGCTGTCATTCCCCATACCTCTAATTTTCTTTACGTTTCAGATTCTTATTTTGTTTTCAGATCGAATTATTGTGGAGGATGTAATTACTTTTTCAAGCTTGGCAGAAAGAAAATTTGCGACTGTGGAGTAGTCAGTAAGTTATATACTGTCAACTACTAAGTGGACTGTTATAGGACACACCCCGCTTGAGACCTTTTCTCCCTTTACGATTCTTAGGCATTTCTGCAGTTACAATCTTTAACACTTGTATAATGGATCAGATGTCCGTTATTTTGTCAGATAAGGATTGTAAATCAAATTGTACGTATTTTTGATTTTTTACGCTCTCTATTCCTTGATATCACTTTTTACTGCAACAATCTTTCAGAGTGTGCTGACAAAGAACTGGTGACTTGTTCCGTTGACCCGTGCTTAAATGTGGATACTTCCAATGGAGTCATTTGCCTGTAGGTTTTATTTCCGTTATATCTTCCTAATCGAATACGTTTATAAGATATCACAGCTGAACAAAATACCACGTATAGTATGGCAAGTGATTTTAGACGGTCATATATTTCAACATGAGTACTTTCTTGGCATAAATACAGTGGTTTTTATTAAAACAATATATGTTTTCTTTCAAGTAAGGTACCCATGATGATAAAATATAAATCGAACAATTCAAAACATTACGAATAGGGACCCTATGTCAAAATTTTTTTCAAAATATTGAACCTATTTACTCAAAAGAGGATCTTCTTTTTCTGATCTTTATTGCATGAAAACATTATTCAGCAAGAGGTCAAAGACAAGTTCAAAAATAGAATGGTTTTGAAAGTCTAGTTTTGAAGATATCAGTTTTCGATGACAAAAATTATGCTGAAAACAATGGATAGCACGAGTTTTCCCTATGGGAAAAAAACATGGGATATGAGGTTTTTAACTTTAACTCATTTCAATACCAACCCCCTTTTCAGAATTTTTTAATATAGTGTAGAGGAGACCTTCGATATGTTTAAATTGAGAAAAACAAGATCATCTTTTTCAAAAATAAGGCTTACATTTTCAAAAGTGCCAAGGTGGGGCCCTAATCCATAATTCTTCAGAGAGTTGGATTGATATTTTACTATCATTGGGACTTCACTCGAAAGAAAACATATTGTTTTAATAAAAGCCATTGTATTTGTGGCCAAGGAGTACTCATGATGAAGGATATGAATGTCTAAAATCACTTGCCATACTGCACGTGGTCTTTGAAACATTTTACAGGTCCAACTACTGCGGTGGATGCAACAAAGTTTGTTACAAGAAATGCAGGGAATTACCCAGGTGTCCAATGCTAAATGAATAAAAAACATACAAACTTTAATTATGATACGTCCTATGTTTTATGTTGTGTCATGATATTGGAGGCTGACAAGACATTCCATCCTTTGAAAGTTTGGAGACGTGACTTTGACGTAATGTGCTAATTTCTTTAATATCGACACATCTACAATTTATTACAAATTAATGCCATATTCTAGATTGGCTCTTGTTAAAGGTTATAGGGGTTTTCCAGTGTTTGGTCTATAAGTATTTTGCAACCTCATATGAGACGAGAATCCATACATTAGAATGTTGGCCAGACGCCTTGAGTTTCTTGAGATAATTAAACAAAAAAATTAATTTATTCACGATATTTTATTATATTTAGATATTTCAACATGTTCATAAATTGCCGACACTTAACATCTGTTTGCCGTTACAAATCAAATGAAATATTACAAAATATCAAGAACATCTTTAAGCATTCCTATAATACAAATTGAACCCTCTTTCACCAAGATATGAAATCATGAAGAAAGGTTGCTTGAAAATGAATGCATTTATAAAGAACGTAAGAATGCAGAAAAGCTATTGAGACAATTTCACTCACTTATTTTGGGTTTTTGTGGATAAAACCTATATAACTCTTTATTATGTAAAGCTGCTGAGCAAGCTTGCCTGCCATTTTTAGGACAATTCCTGAACCAGTGGCCCAAGATAAATATCTAACCTTTCTATAGGGGTAGCCTATGATCCTGAATATAACAGAACAACAGAGAATTCTAAATTGAACTGGACACTTTTCAATTTTCAAAAATTTGCGGCGAATGTTATGTGTTCTTGGGTGCTCAACATTTGGTGACGTCATTAATCTATGCACAGCAAACACATTTTCATGGGAAATATTCATTTAGGGTTAGTATTGAAGAGCCTACAGTTCAGGATGCTTAAATGAACCAAAAAGCTTATAAAACTTGTTTACCGAACGTTTAAAAATCCCCAAAGGAGCCCCCTTGCTAAATTTCTCACTGAAGAGAATTTCTCCGATTATTTTCATTATTTCCATAATAAATTGTTTCAAAATGGTCTAAACTTATACATCATGTTTTTAATTTAATTATTTAACATATTTTTTTTACGTAAAAGTCGTGTAAAAGATAAAAATAAGAAAGAAGCTACCATGGTCGCGACCTGACCTTGAAACTTACTTCCTAGTTGAAAATCGAAATATAACATTGAATTTGAGCATTTCTTTAGCTCATTCTGTCCATTTTGTGGGAATATCAGTTAAGTACGTTGTGTAGGATAAAGTATGATGTGCAGGATAGAGTAGGAGTCGCCAAGGAAAGAGATGATATCGACCTCAGTTGTACATGAAATGTACATTATATTTCTCTGTAAGTATAAATCAGGTACTTGAATTAATAGAGAAATTGGCAAAATTGGCCTTGCTCAGCAGCTTAAGTTCCTGGTATGACCACTGCGTCATTTATTCAGTGATGTTCATCAAGTTGTGCATGAATATCCAGGGAAACGATGTATCTACCTTCATAATCATATCTTGGTTGTGAATAGAATACCAAGCCAGAAACAAACCCAAGTCCCATGTACATGATTCCCATATTTACATTTATATCATACCAATTTTCAAGCATCGTTAATACAAATACCGAATTTGCAATGCGTATAGAATATCTCTACGAGCACCTTTACATAATACCCATTTTCAAGCATCTTTAATACTAATATTGAAATTCGACCGAATTTACAATGCAGATTGGATACCTCCAGAAACAAACACGAGTCTTATGAATATGTTACCCATATTTACATTTATATTATACCAATTTTCAAGCATCGTTAATACAAATACCGAATTTGCAATGCGTATAGAATATCTCTACGAGCACCTTTACATAATACCCATTTTCAAGCATCTTTAATACTAATATTGAAATTCGACCAAATTTACCATGCAGATAGGATACCTCCAGAAACAAACACAAGTCTTATAATATGTTACCCATATTTACATTTATATTATACCCATTTTCAAACATCGTTAATACTAATATCAAATTCGAGGGAATTTGCAATGCGTGTAGAATACCTTCAGAGTTCAGAAACAAAACACGAGCCTCGTGTATTTTTCACCTAATATCTATATCCATATTATACCAAGGGTTTTAAAAAGGGTTCCAAATCTGGTTCCGTAGGGTTGACTTATCTCTCTTTGATTGCCCTTCGCATAATATAGCTTCGGTGCATATGGATGGTTCTTTTGACATTGTATAAACTATGCATTTCCTAACAAACTTTTTGTTTCCGACTTATATCCCACAAAAGTTTAAGTCAAGCTAATGTGCCTATCTTATATCCTCATTATTTCATTTCGAACATCTGGAGGATAGAGGTGAACTTATTCAAATATGCATCATCGATTTTCAAGCATCCATCTCTGCTATCGTACGCGGGAATCGTGACGTTGCCCAACGTTATGTAACCAGAATGGGGCCCTTCATCATGGAAAACAGCTTCGTTACCAATCCATCCTAGAAAATACAGATGGCAATATTGAAAATCATGCAGACTTATAAAATATTGACATCTATCGCGAACAGTTTTTTTTGTATTAAGTTAAAACAGGATTGACGATTGGTTGTTTCATTTTCAACATACCCATAATTCCACCGGCAGTTTTGGATAGACCTGTCTTTTCTGTGACACCAACGTTGAGAAATGGCGCACCTTTTGCTCGTCCTCTTCGTGTGATTACAAGTTCAATTGTATCATTTTTAAACAACAATTTTATTTGCTTTCTGTTGATGGTCATAAATCCGCTATCGAGTTTTACGGTCTTTTCTCTCCAGTTGAGTATCCTTTCCCCTTTAGATGTCACAAGTGTCGCTTCATCTGGGGAAATAGCAACATGATCACTTTCCCCTTTCACAACAATTTGATCAATGAAATCAACGACGGATCCGAGGTCAATATCCTCATCTTCTACGAAGGTTGTTCTAATATCTAAAAGTATATAGAGGATATCCTATGATTTATGAGTGATATGATTTTTATCCACGAATGGATAAAAAGCGAGCGTAGCGAGAGAGTGCAGATATCAATATCCATGAATGGATTAAAATCATATCACGAGTAAATCATAGGATGTTCTTTTTATTCCATAGTTAGATTCATCATCAGAATCGTCGGAAATTAAGTTATTTAATTCGAATTTCCAAACGATCCAGCGATGTTGACACTTAGCCTCGTTTTGAGTCTGAAGTAGCAAAAATCCATAAACCATCGCATACGACGTCGTATGTCATGGCTAAAAAAACGTATGTTATGGTTAAGTGAAAATTTGTCAAAAATATCATATTTTACCACTGATTACAAAAATACTGTTTTTATTTTCACATGTTATCCTATGAATATCATGCTAACTATGGAATAAATAGAGGATATCCTATGATTTATGAGTGATATGATTTTTATCCACGAATGGATATGATATCTGCACGAGCGAGCGTAGCGAGAGAGTGCAGATATCAATATCCATGAATGGATTAAAATCATATCACGAGTAAATCATAGGATGTTCTTTTTATTCCATAGTTAAAGTCATCGTCAGAATCGTCGGAAATTAAGTGATTTAATTCGAATTTTCCAAACGATCCGGCGATGTTGACACTTAGCCTCGTTTTGAGTCTGAAGTAGCAAAAATCCATAAACCATCGCATACGACGTCGTATGTCATGGCTAAAAAACCGTATGCTATGGTTAAGTGAAAATTTGTCAAAAATATCATATTTCACCACTGATTACAAAAATACCGTTTTTATTTTCACATGTTATCCTATGAATATCATGCTAACTATGGAATAAACATTGTTATTACAGTTTGAGTAGCATCCTTTCTATTAAACAGTTCATTCAACATTACATCAACTTACGTTTCAAGAATGATAGTGCTTGGTACCCACTTCATCTGGAACCCAAAATTAGTTTTTCTTTTTCTTTTTCTCGTTTTTCTTTTTAGCCCAAAATTAAAGTTGGTTGATTGAAGTACCATAGATAGATGCACTAACAAATTTTTTATTATTCCATAGTTAGCATGATATTCATTGGATAACATGTGAAAATAAAAACGGTATTTTTGTAATCAGTGGTAAAATATGATATTTTTGACAAATTTTCACTAAACCATAGCATACGGTTTTTTAGCCATGACATACGACGTCGTATGCGATGGTTAATGGATTTTTGCTACTTCAGACTCAAAACGAGGCTAAGTGTCAACATCGCCGGATCGTTTGGAAAATTCGAATTAAATGACTTAATTTCCGACAATTCTGATGATGACTTTAACTATTGAATAAAAAGAACATCCTATGATTTACTCGTGATATGATTTGAATCCACTCATGGATATTGATATCAGCACTCTCTCGCTACGCTCGCTCGTGCAGATATCATATCCATTCGTGGATAAAAATCATATCACTCATAAATCATAGGATATCCTCTATTTCTTACCAATCTCAAAATCAATGAAAATGGTATTTTTTCGTGATCTTAGCCAGAAATGTAGTTTTACCAAGCTGGTGATATCGTCCAAAATGCATTTCTTACGCCATATAGTAAGTAAGCACGTAGGTAATCGCAGATAATTTTCTGATCCTGAAGACATGTGTATCTTATAGATATTTTAGATATTTTCCAATAACCTATGTGACCTTATATAATTCTTACCAATCTCTTGGTCTCTAAAAAGGATGTACACAGATCCAGGTTGTCCAGCGAAGTCATAGCAAAGTCGTCTGTGGTGTGCACCCTGGATGGTCTGAGAAATATGAGGGTCCCCACATATCATTATGCCAGCTCCATTCCTTCTGCAGTTTGGCCTACTGGGGTCAGTGCAGTCGTTATTAGTTGTACAGCTTGGCTCTCTTGAGTTTTCTTATAGCAAATTATCAAATAAAATTAAAGAAACAGATACTTAAAAAGTTTATACACTTCACATTTGGAGTCCGAATCTACAATTACGTCATCAACATCCACTGCACGACGAATGTCATGATTAATGATAAGCTCAACTGGACCACTCATCAGTAAACGTTCAGGGAAAATATCACGCCTATTAGGATAACTCTACATACAACATACAACATACAACTCGTATACCTAACGTTTCTAACATTTAAGATTGCAACCAATATTACGGAGGCCCCTGTGTAGGCGTTTTGAATGGGCAAGTCATACGTCAAAGGTCAGATATAAACTCAGAAAGAGCCAACAGAAGAACACTGTCATAAAAAATATTTAAATAGAAAAAACGATTGATTCATTTACCTGGAATCCTTTCGAAGTAAAGCAAACCTTCGATACATATTGAAAATCTGCTCGTTGTCCCTGAATATAAAGACGCTGTAAAACAGACCTCGTCTTGCACACTATGCATGATAGACCAGCATACAAAAGTGATTTCATTCACACAGCGCTGTTTGCATTCTTCAAGGGTGGAAATACCACCGTCAAGTCCCTCAATACCGATACCAATACACATATTTGTGCCAAGGTCCATAAAATCGTTAGATGGAACTGCAAAAGTAATACAGTTTCAATATATAGAATACAGGTAAATCTACTATTACGTCATTAAACCTTAACAACGTCAAATAATAAATTAATTGCTATGGCAATATAACTTCATCCCACAAGCGATCTAGATTGAAGTTGCACATGTCTCTATTGAAGTTTTTATGTTTTCTAATGTGAATGGCTTCTCTTATCAACCTTTTGTTTCTGTTCCTTTCTGTGCTAACTATTTTATAATTGTTCCTATCAATTTCGTGGTCTTCTTGGAGAATATAATCTGTAATCGCTGATTTATTAAAGCTGTTAAAAGAATCTTTTTTATTGTTTCCAGTGTACAGACTCTTTTTCTTATCTGCTTCTGTTTTGTGATCCTTGATGCGAGTACCAAGAGGTCTACTTGTTTCTCCTATGTAACTTTTATTACAATTGTTGCATGGAACTTGATATACTACGTTCGCGTTGCACACAATTTGAGAAAATAACAGCTATATTATACGATTTGTCCGTAAAATATTGTTTTAATTACTGGATTCCCCTAAAATGTGCATTGTGATTTTGCGCAACAATGTCAGCTCATAAAAGTAGTCCCACATAGAAAATTTGAGACGGTGGAACAACATAAAATTATGAACTTTTATATTTTATCTAGTTGTTACGTTATTTGCAAATAGTCCGATATACAGTCGTTGTTCAGACATAGTTCAGTAAGTACTCTTTCTATAAATATCCTTTTTGAATGCATTTACTGTTGAGAAACAACTGAACTGCGTCCAAAAAGTTGATATTTTTATAAAAAATGGCTGCCAAGAAAGATTAGAAAATATTTCAAACATATGGATAAAATGACTTATGACTTTGATGATCGTAACAGGGATAATAAGTACATAACCTTAGAACCATAACTTATTTTGATCATTTAGACACCTGATATAGCCAGAAATGTTGATTATATATCTTCATATTTCTCTACTTTTGGCATGTGTCATTCATGCAAAAATAAAAACAATGCAATTCCTGCATATTTCCTCAGCCAAAACAGCTGATTTTTAGCAGAGTTTGGCCCCGAGGACATATACAGTGCGTATCAAAAAACGCAACAGATTGTTATCTTAGAAAAGCACAAAACCAGTGATAACAGCATTGATTTCATCCAATGCACCATAAACCCATGTGTCTCCTCTTTACAATGATATATCATTCATTGATATTTGGTCATGGTTGGGCGAGTAATCGTTCCATTTGCAAAGTTGGCCAAAATTAGCTTTGGGCCAAGTTATAAAAGGCATCTACACTCCCCTCCATAAGTTTGGCAACCTTTTTCCCCCATTGAACTACGTGTTAAAGCCTCTTTACCTTTGAATTTTTATTTACTTAACCTGCGATGAAAATACTTATACCATTGATGGAAACATAATTTGACTTTAATTCCAATACCTCCAAATTTTCTTAATTTTTTTCCTCAATTACACTAGGTCGAAAATTGATGATAAATTTGATGAATTTTTGAAAATCGACATTCCCATGTTAACCAATGGGAAATGGTAGGTTTGCCGCAAGTCATATGACAGAATATCCATCCATCCGAGTCCTTGCAAAAAATACGAGTTAGGCAGGCAATTGAATTTGCTAACTTTATTTAACAAAAAATTGATATGTTTCTTCAGATTCAACAAAGTTATAGGGCTTTAAAGTCAAAATTGTTTTTCAAAAAACCTCTCCCATTGAAATAACACAGGAGGCGAAAAATTATTTTCAAAAATGACTTTGAAGCGCTGTAACTTTAATATTCATCAAATAAACTAAACACTTAGTGTTCAAAGAAGTTAGACAATTCAATTTTCTATATAAAAATATTTTTTGCTGAATCTTTTACTGAAAAGATATCCTGATTTTTGATTTGCCCCGAACCCTCCATTTCCCATTGGATTACATGAGAATGACGATTTTCAAAAATTCATCAAATTTATCATCAATTTTCGACCTATTGTAATTGAGAAAAAAAATTGAGAAAATTTGGAGGTATTGGAAATAAAGTCAAGTTACGTTTCCATTAATATCATAAGTTATTTCATCGCCGGTTAAGTATTAACATTTAATACATGTAATACAACTGTGTGTATTTCATTTCTTTGATATACTTTTATCTTAGTCAGCACAGCTACACACTTCTATACTTACATATCAATATCATTTTTACAGACTAAATGGAACAAAGTAATGATAAACACATTCTGGAAGACCATGGGATGGATATGCCAGAATACCTTTCCGAGGAAAAAATACTAGATGAAGCCGAGCCTAGTATTTTTTTCGAGGATGATGTTTTTTAATACTTTAAAACGAAGCCATGCCAACTTCAATGGTGTGTATAGTAGGTTTAAGTGTATGTATTGTGGCCATTTGAGATATGTATGTAAAATTGAGACCAAGTACTTTCTAAATGTGCCATTTTAAGACAAAATCGCAAGAACATAGTCCCGCAAACTGGAACTTCTTTATTCGTTAATTTTCATCGGTGAAGCAAGGATTTTACCCTAAAAATGAGTCCCTATGTTGGCGTAGTGATATTTAAAAAAATCGAGACGCAAACCGTATAATGAATATAGTGTCAAGATGCAGGTTTTGTAAAGGGGAAGGCAGAAATATAGTCATTGTATGGGCTAATTCGTTCGAAAATGGCGATATGTACCCCAGAACTTGAATTTTGTGATTTTTCTCAATATTTTTCAATGATTTACCGTAGTGACACCTTATATGAAAATCTCGAACTGTTTAGTTTTGGGGAATTCTGGGTAAATGTTAATGATTTTCCGTTCGAAAATCTAGTCTGTTAAGTCTTGTTTACACATTACTAGATGAACCATTTGACGCATCGATTTCTTAGCGCTTTTCCTAAACATGGAAAAATCTTCAAAATAACAGATTAATAAACAAATGTACAAATAAAACAATTGTTACCACTCAATTGACATGTAAAACAATATATATCAAAATCCTTGAAAAGAAGTAGAAAAACCTACATCTTAGAGAAAGTGGATACAAGAAAATAATGTAAAGGAAACAGATCGTGAAATACGAGTATTAAGCTGCTAGATCAAAGGGAATTAGGTGAAAATGCATTATTTTTAACTTCTATTACAATTGGGTTGCTGTATGCTTCACTCATTTCACTTTTCCCAGTGAAATATCTGCTTCGCACATTGTTTGGCAATTATTCATTTCAATTCATTCTTCCCCAACTGCAATTTATTACATTTTAGTGCAGATGCTTCAAGATAAACCAGTTCATAGCATTCAATTATGATAATATACATCGCATTCTATGTTCATAATTGTCTCCAATTTCAAACAACCATGCTCGCAGCACGACTTACCTTTAGTCCTGCAATATTTCAACTTATGCTGATGGAAATTTTCGATGTTTACTATATTTGAAACTTTTCTGTATATTTAGGGTGTCCTGAATTCAAATCTACGTTGACGCAACATACGCGTTATATCTTGTGTCTACTCTCACTGCACATTGGCCTGTTTTGACAAAATGAATTGAAATTCAATTGAATTCTGTCTTGTCTAGAATGTCAAAAGGAAATATCTTGATTCTCATATGTAAACCATATTATCTGTAAATTCAGATATTGCATAGTTTCTAATCTTCAACAATTGGTAAGTTTTATAATAAAATGCCATCTCGGGCGATTGTATTGCAGAACACATACTCACTTGTTTGACAGGACACCTCAGATAGTGTTATAAATACGAATACAAGAATCATGCTCGAAACCTCCATCCGTACCAGTGGAAGCTTTTTAAACTCCTCTTGTGCTTTTTATTTGCTTGTGTCTGTCTACACCCTCACTAAAAGCACCCTTCTCCGTGTGACTGTATCCTGAAATTGTAAAACAGAGCGCAAATTTTTGAAATAATAACGATTTAATGATCAGCCGTTCATGATTTTCAAAACTGATTGATTGAATGACAACATAATGTGTTAGTTTTAACAAATTATTCTAAAATTAATTTGCATGATTGGATATATCCCTTTAATAACTTCAAAGGTAAGTACATGTAATCATTGAAAAACTACATATTACAGTGATGGAATATTTTAGGAAATGTAGAAAGGTGAAAACTGAAAAAAAAAACATTACAAATAAAAGGAAATATTATGGAAAATTACAAATATGATGGTAAAAGACATATATTACACATGAAACATGGAATCGATTTGTGAGAATTGACACTTTAATTTGCCATACATTGGCTATTCAAACGCGTAATCATGATCAGCTGAGTGAGCATCGACAATGGTTCCGTTAAAGCTCCATGTGCAGTATGGCAAGGGATTTTAGACAGTCATATCTTTCACCATGAGTATGAATACAGTGGTTTTTATTAAAACAATATCACCCTATGCAGACAGAGCCTGTGGGAAATATTGGGTGCGGAGCAAATGAGCGGAGGGTGCGGAGCTAACGGTTATTTTTGAATTTAAATTTGGGATATTTCTGAAACTAAGCCGTTTTGGGACTTCAAATATACCAAGATATGTGTATTTGACACCAAATATCAATACAATTGTGAAAATAGTAGCGCAATTCATTCTATAGCGACGCAGTGTGCCTTAAACCTTTCCCAGACCTATATATTTTGAAATTATCCTTTTAATACTGAGTCCCCAGGTCTCATAAAAAATGGTGTTCAAGGTGCACTATCTATACAAATTATTTTTGCATCTTGGAAGCCAGGCAGTATCTGTGTGATTTTATAAAAAGTCGGAAATTTTTTCAGATATGAGCCCCCTCTAAATATTGGGTGCGGAGCAGCTCCATAAACGTAGCTCCGCACCCAATATTTAGAGGGGCTCATATCTGAAGAACATTTCCGAATTTTTATAAATCACACAGATACTGCCTGGCTTCCAAGATGCAAAAATAATTTGCATGGGTAGTGTATCTTGAACACCATTTTTTATGAATGCTGGGGACGCAGTATTAAAAGGATAGTCTCAAAATATCCCGTCTGGGAAATGTTTAAGGCATACTGCGTCGCTATAAAATGAATTGCACTACTATTTTCACAATTTTATTGATATTTGGTGTCAAATACACATATCTTGGTATATTTGAAGTCCCAAAACGGCTTAGTTTCAGAAATATCCCAATTTCAAATTCAAAAATGACCGTTCGCTCCGCACCCTCCGCTCATTTGCGCCGCACCCAATATTTCCCACAGGCTCTGTCTGCATAGGGTGAATATGTTTTCTTCAAAGTGAAGTCCCCATGATAGTAAAATATCAATCCAACTAGCTGAAAAAGAGGATCTTGTTTTTCTCAATTTAAATCCCTATTTATATTTTTTCGAATTTTCGATTTATATTTTTATGATCATGGAGACTTCGCTTGAAAGAAAACATATTGTTTTAATAAAAACCACTGTATTTATGCCTAGAAAGTATTCATGGTGAAAGATATGACCGTCTTAATTCACTTGCCGTATTGTTAGTACCTCAGTGTAAATACTCGCATCTGATTGGTCAATTAGCGGTCAACATTTTTGCCTGTACCTCACCTGTGCATCATGGGATATCATATTATTGACCGCTTATTTATGTTACTGTACTACACTTGTGAATCATGGGAAATATGACGTCATAATGTTTACAGAAAAACATGGTAGACGGACATTTCGTAAACGTTGATGAAAGTGATATTTTGACTTTGCTAGACGACAAGTATAGCAAAAATACAAAAAGAAACGAAAAATTAACATTAATTTACAAGTGAGTATGCAGCTATGTGCCAAAAACAAAGAGTTTAGCTACCACTGTCTTAAGATTTTCTTATAAAAATTATTGCTGGCGTGGTTCGGAGAAAAGATTGTGAAATGAAGCCATGATTGGTGACTGTCGTCTATATGTGTATTATTAATTTCTTCTGACTAACAAAACAATTGTAGACCTCTCCATTCGGTCAACCGTCAAAACCATATACCTCGACTGTAAACCTTGAAACTACTGTTGACCTCGACCTTCGGTCTCTGTCAACAGTAGTTTCTCGGTTTACAGTCTCGGTATACAATTTTGCCGGTTGACCTCTGGAGAGGTCAACAATTGTATACTGTACATGGACCTTTGCCAAAATATGCAGACAATGAGGAAACAACAGCGCGCGAGGTTAAAGAAAATATTAAATATAAGAATCTGCATGGAGAAAAGGCACAAAATCATAAACTAGTCTGCGTAGTTTTGTATGCTCAGTGAAGGATTGAGCCCAAAAGGCCATTTTAAGTCAAAAAATGTAACGTTCTCAATGTAAATGATCATAAATGAATGGTGGAAAAATAATGTCATATTCGGTTCTACAGCCTTACATTTTCTTTATTTGTGTCAGGCCTATCACCCATTTGTCTTGACGACGTTATAATTATGGTGTTTTGACCTTTTGTATTGTAGAATCATATGTACTATATTTAAACAAAGGATTGGTATCGATATGTAGAACTGAATTCAACAATGTTTTTCTCTTAAACCATTCATTGAAAACATTCTGTAACAGAACATGGTATTTTATGTAATGTCCACTGATTGACAACAATTTTATGCGAAAATTATTTAGAAATATTTTGTATAACTGTTTTTGTTAACAATTTTTGTTTTTTAGTGCAATTGTTTTTGCTCCTTTCTACAAATGCTTATATCTACGGGGGCGGTTCTGATAAAATCTAGAGGGGCAAACCGCTGAAAAAAATTATTGGCTTCTGTACTAGATCCGATCATCTGATTAGCAGAACAGACAATTACAAATGGATTGATGGACACTTTTTCTCTAAGTTATATTCTTAGATAACATTTGTTTTAAAATGGGTACATTATTTATCAATATCATACATCCCTCTATAGGTTTGACAGACTTAACTCCCAACAGGTTTCTTTATTTTTTGCGCCTCCGAATTGTCCCAATATTTTCGAAGAAGGAGCTTTAAGATATCAATTTTGTGTTCATAAAGTTTAATTCAATTTTTTTTATTTACTTATGTGTTTGCAAGAACTTCGGATTGATGGATATTCGTTACATGAATCGTGGCAATTTCCCAACTATTGTAAATGATGAAAATTCAGAAAAGGGAGGGAACTCTGCAGCCCTACAAATAGGGGCTAAATGTTGCTACACTTGCGGTGACGAGTGTACTTTTGAATTTAAATGCTCGTGTTATTTGTTTCACGACTATTTTACTTAATGTTATAGACAAGGTGCATTTTCATCTAGAGGAAATGTGGTAGGCGTTTAGTGTTAAAAGTGTTCTGACAATTGTTTCTTATGTAACTTTTTATGCTGAATCCAAAAAACCATGTTGGCAAGCTGAAATATGATTATTTAACCCTTAAAATACCATGTTAGTCCCTCTACCCCCAAAATTCACCCCTATCAGGGAGAAAAAATTTGTCAACCTAAAATAACTTTGATTTTATGGTTTTTGTAAGTGAAATACATGGACATTGTATAAAATAAACATTTAAAGTATGAATGATACGGATTACACTTAAGAAATTTGAATAAAAGCAAAAAGTATGTACCCAGGGGGCAAATTTATGACCCATTTTTTACTTTTCGTGTCATAACTTTTTTATTAGACAATGATGGATGCTAAAAAAATCCATGTAAAAGGCTTAATACCTGGTCTACTAATCCTGCAAGAATCAAAGTAATTCCTCTGATAATTGCCTTGAAAAAAATTAGTGAATTTAAGAAAAAAATGACATTTTAGCTGGGACTGATTTTATGTGTGACTATAACTGACCCCTATTGCTTTAACATTTATCCCTCTGTGTTCATATATTTGGCATTTTAGAATAAATCTAAAATATAAAACTTATTTTAGCTAAGTTTTAGGAAGATTTAAGCTTTCTAGCATGTTCAAATATTAAAAATTCATGAAATATGATGTCTAAAATTGATAAGTTATACGTATACCCTTGGAAGACCCTTATAATTTCTTATTTATGAACATATTTGTACCAATATTAGTTTTCTAGCTTAGACAAATAATGTATGATATATCCTGGCTTGGCTTTCTGGTGGTTTGAACAATCTTAGGTGTTATCATTGAAAATTCATTCTTAAATCACAGGTCTGCAATCGATTAAATTCAAGTAACAGGATCTTAAGAGGTTCTGGACAAATCATTTGATTCTGGACTTGACATATTTTTTTTCCAACGAAATCACATCCAAGGGTTGAATTTTTATTGGATATTTAGAGAGCGAGTCCTGTATTGATTTCAATAAAAAGGTTAAAATAGAACGCTATTTGAGAGTTAATCTAATACTTTCATTACATTGATAAATTAAGGCAAATTCTGAAAAATTTTAAAGTGCATTTTTTATGAAATATTATCCAAGTATTTAGATGAAACGGTCTTATTTAAATACAAATCATAACATGATGATATTTTTTCATAAAATATTTCTTCAAGAAATTCAATTGAAGGCTCAAGATAAAACGAGCTAATTTAGGTGAAAACCCTTACATGATGATGTGTTTTCATGACATCTTTCATAAAATTCCATCAAGGGGTGAAAATAAAATGATCGAATTTAAGTGATTTAAGGATCACGAGGATAGGTTTTCTTGGATATTTTCTATGAAATCCCATCCAGTGGTCAAGGTAAAATTTTTATTTGGTATATTTGGTCACGTGTTCGAACCCATAGAACCATATAGGAACGTCATTTTGAATGTTACGTGATAAATCCATATAAGGCTTTTAGAACAATGTGGGGAAAGATGAGGGGAAACCCCTGACACCTGTTCACGATTTTATCCGAACGTTCATCGGATCATTTCGGTTTTTATGCACTTCATTATTTTACCGAAGTT